GGAGGAATCAAAGATCCTTACTTGAGGAACTTAACTGGCACTCTACTGATTGGACTTTACCGACTTCAGAAACTAGACAAGATTCTATACCGAGCTGACCTATCAACCAGACGGACTTGAACAACTGACCTGTCTGCTCTTGTTATTGCCAGGCCTCCAGACCATACCAATTCACCGAGTTAGAAACCGGACCAGAGCTATTAACCGACTTGACGTGCTTTCCTGACTGACAGACCGGACAGACCAATCCAACAAACTGACTTTGCTAGCTTATCGAGCCGAGGAGACAAGACGGATCCATATAAGGATACCAGCAACCCGAAGAGAAGAACCCCAATTTATTAGAGAGATCCGTTCTATTTCACTAGTTGGGTTTCTGTCTCGGCCTGGCATCTTTGGACAAGAATAAGAAGTATAAGTAGCAGCTTCCTATTCCTTAGTACTTTCCTATAGTGTAGTTTCTCAAACCAGTGCTTTTCCTGGAATGGATAGAATTCCTCAACTCTAGGAAAACCTGGTATGAAAAATTCCGTATAATATGCAAAATCCCGTTTCCGTATAAAATAAATAAGTAGACTAGCTCTGGACCGGAAATCGAAACCCTGGAAACAAAAGACAGGACAGGTATGAATCACTAAACCTGAGAGCTTCCTTCTCTTCTCCCAAAGCCAACTCTAGATTTTCCTCCTTCCGGCAAAGTCAGAGTGATGCTATCTCTCCTCTCCCCGGCCCTCCGGGATGAAGAATGTCCAACATCCTCTTCTTGGATACCAGATTCCATCCTTATCCACCTGGCTAGAAGCTGGCTAGAAGATCGAATTTCTTGTAATGAGTATCTTTGAGGTGTTTACATAACTCATCCAGTCCAGAAATAGCTTGACCTGTCCAATTTTGAATGAATCAAGATATCCTATCATTCCGGTAGCTATAGTAGCTATCTGTTCTTCCACTGGGAGAAGGTTTGATTGGGATTGTTTAAGCAATTCCCGTCATAAAAACAAGGGCCATTTGCATTTCTGTCCCTAACTCGAACCACCTACTCAGATATGCCCCTAACTTCGAAGCCTGCTCAAATTTGCCCCTCCGTCGTTAAGTGACCTTACAAAAATGCCCTTCCGTTCCGTTTCCGTCCGGTCAAAGGGGTTTGACCGTCTATGAGACGTTTGTTTGACATTTTTACCCCTGGAAAAAAATAAAACATAAATTAAAGAGAAGAAAGAGAGTGCTTACCTTTTGGCCCAAGTTCAATGTGCACTTTGGCCCATGTGCATAGCGCCAGGCCCACCCATCTCCCCCAGTCATCGTCTTCCTCATCGACTGCACGCGCCGGTGCGCGCCACCGTCGCCGCTGTTCGACAGCTTTCTGTCGTAGTAGCTTGGGTAGGGTTACTTAACGACGCCTGCAGGCCCCTGACAACCCTAGCTAACTTTCCCTCCCTTCCCCCGCTCGCTCTCCTTCCCTGCGGCCGGATCGACCGTCTTCCTCGTCTGCGGATCGCCGGAGCGCCATCGTCGATTCGCTAGTCCTATGCCGCTAAACCACAAATTAATGTCTCAGTCATGTTCGTGGTGCCCCTAAGATGTCGCCCAGCCCCCTAAACCAGTGGATCCATGGCCGCCTTCTCGAGTCCGTCGAGCACCGCCGTCGGCCGCCGCCTAGCTCGTCGCTGCGGTCGATTCCGACCACCCCTGCATGCTCTGTTGGTACCATTGGACGCGCCTCAGCGCACTCGTCCGAACTGTACTCTCCGCCAACAAGTTTGTCATCGGAGTTGTGACTTCGTCCATCGTCCCCGTGGCTTTGGTCACTTGAGCTCGCCGCCAGTCGAGGGCACAGTCTAGGGAGAGGGAGGGAGGGGAAGGGAGGAAGGGAGGAAGGGAGAGGGAGGATAGAATGGAGGGAGGGCTGCGGCGTGTGGGGAGCTGGTGCCGAGGTCGCACATCCAGGGCCATCGGCGCTCGCCGGAGGTGAGACAGAGAGAGGGTGAGAGAGGTGGGAGGGATTTTTTTATTTCTCTATTTTGTTTGGGGGCCCACAAGTAAGTGTGTCAGAGAGAGGGTGAGAGAGAGAGAGAGTTTTTCCTTTTTATTTATGTTTTGACTGGATCCCACGTGTAAGTGGCACATGAAGGCAGGGGCAAAATGTCCAATAAACGCCCAGTAGACGGTCAAACCCCTTTGACCAGACGGAAACGAGACGGAAGGGCATTTCTGTAAGGGCACCTAACGACGGAGGGGCATTTTTGAGCAGGCTTTCGAATTAGGGGCAAATGTGAGTAGTGGGTTCGAGTTAGGGACACAGATGTAAAAGACCCTAAAAACAATGGATTCTGGCTAGTTTTATCGAGAGCAGCGGCGAATAATAGGCTTGTCACTATGCGAATTGAGCTAGTTCCAATTTGGATTTGCCAGCTACTTGTTTCATTGCGGCACATTTGAGCCGCTGATCCTACTCTGGAAAGTGAAATACCCACATGAATAGCAGGTCGAATTCCGGCATGGAATAGATCCGCAGATAAGAAGATTTGTCCATCTTGGAGATTACATTAGTAGGAATATAGGCGGAAACCACTCCAGTTGGGCATACTCTCTTCGCCTAAAAGAGAATTGCATTGAGTGGCTCTTTCTAAAAGGCGTGAATGCCAATCAAATCAACCCTATCCTTATGGAGAATAGAGATCCACCCACCCACCTTCTATATTCTCCCATCCCCGAGGGAAGACCACGCGCGGCCGAGAAAGAAGTGTCTCGTATTCAGCAGATCGCCTAAGTCCTAACGTTAGTGGAAAGAGTAAGATAAGAAAGCTTAAGCGTGGTAGCCCACAGACCAAATATGAGAAGTTATGTTTTGAAAGCTTCTTACTGAGTCTAATACTATCCTTTTGAAATTCTTGGTCCTCAGATCTGATACCATAACCAGCATCTACATGCTCATGCTGCAAACTATCACATAGGTCCTATTTCAGGTTCATTTACTTCCTCAAATAAGTAATTTTGTCTAATGTTCCCCGAACGAGTAGTTAAAACAACCACCCCCTGATCCGAAAGGAATGGGTGTTCCCGAGGCTTATTCAGAGGGCTTTCTAGTGAGTTAATGGGGAATGAGGGTATCACCCATAACCAGTTTGAAGATGCAAAAATTCTATTCTTGTCAAGGAGGGGGATTAGCTACACAACCAAGGAAGGCCTTTTTAGATTATTAATATTCTGACTGCTTTTCACTCTTGTCTAGATCTTGCTTTTGCTTAGAGGGCAGACCGCATGACAAAGCAAGAGCTTGAATGCGAGGGGTGCTGCGAATGTTTGCTTCGAAGGAGCCTGTGAGCCAGCGATAATTAGACCCGTTAGTTAGTAGGGACAACTTGAAGTAGGGACAACTTGAATACTCCGCCTGTGTCTAATCATGCACTCGACCAGCCAATGAAACGAATTGAGATGCAAGTGATTGAAAGTTATCTCCCGTAGAAGGAGCTATGTTTGCGAAGGATCGAAGAGAGCGTTGAGGGCGCTAGCAACAACGTGTTTGTTTCAACACAAGAAGTGCCGATCCAAGCTTTAAGAACTCAATCGCCCGTCCAACCGAATCACTCGTTTATGGCTCTGATTCCAAGTCAGGGTTTAAAACAGCGGTGACCCAGCTAGTTGAATTTTTTTTACTTGGAACACCAGACATGAGAGCCAGCTACAGAGACAGCTAATGATATCAAAGTTGACGAAACAATAGAGTTTCATTCAATTCTTTTCAGAGTGTACGCCTATGATCAATAGTTCCTTATGTAAAGGATCTTTCCCTTCTCATATTCTATTAGAGAGTTCTCAGTATTTAGCAAAGCTGTTCGTATCTAACGGAGGGCTATTGGATCAAATGAAAAAACATTGTTGAGAAATAGTAGCCACCCGAAGTAGAGGGAATCCAACCTTGCCCAGTCGATGCTCAAGTGGCCCAAAGAAGCAATCTGAAAAGGGAAGAGCTTGTTCTGAAGGAACCGCACTCAAAGGGAATGTTTACTTTATCAAATCATTCTTACTCCTTGGTTGCCCCAGATGAAACGAGACTATTCATTTGACCATTCACTAGTTTGTAAACTGCGCCTACTTCATGCACAGAACTCCGCTCTACTGGAGGCATTCGGGAAGCGACTAGTCGCTTCTGGCGAAGCTTAACAAAGGCCGACTACTACATAGAGACAACTACTACCAGTCATGAGCGATAGTGAAGCCGTCGGAGGCAGAAGCTGTCGCTTGACGGACGAAGCCGAGCCGATACGATAGGCGGGCGAAGTGAGCGAGACCAAGACGGGCCAGACGTGGAGTGGCGAAGGGGGGCCTACTATACGTATACGTGATTAGTAAGCGGTTCAAGACGTCAAACAAAAAATCAAGTGAACTAATGAATAGTGTGATTGATCAGACAAGTACCAAGGAGCAAGAAAACGTATGCGCTTTAGCAAGGGATGAGCGCGAAATCCATTGCTTGTTCTTTCGGTAGCCTTCTTTCATTTCCGAATTTGCTTGCGAGCAGTCCTTGCATTAGTATGAGTTCGTTGACCGCGTAAGGGCGATCCATCTTGATGACGAATTCCACGATAACGAGAAATAGAAATTAATCATTCGATGTCTGCTCGTTCTCCCCTCTTCAATTCCCAATGAACAACATGATCTTGAGCTATCATTTGTTCAATTTGGTCGATCTGATACTTAGTTAACTCATTCATCTTGATGTTCCCACTGATACCTAATCGATAACGAAGCTGAATGGCTTTTTTCGGTCCAATTCCATCCATTTTTGTTGAGGCAATTCTTACTTGTTCATCGGGAAGTGATCTAGCTCCTGAGATATATGACATTCTTTATCCTTATCTTTCCCTGGCCTTCTCGGCTGGAATTTACAATCTACACCTCTCCAAACACAAACGCAATATCTTGAGTACCCGGAACCATGTTCAGTGCTGCAAAAGCGCAGCTGTAGCCCCCTAGAATCTTTAGCTCCTCGTTTTTATTCAATTATGAAATGACTCATTTTGATGGAGATTTGTAGCATCATTCAAGTAAATACAAATTGAGATCGTAGAAACATGAGCTTGTGATATAGCTACACCTAATTCCAGACCGGTTAATGCTAGAACTATAAATAAGGGACCAAGATCTCCTATGAAATAGAAAATATTATTCAGAAATAGCATAGTCCAAGCAAACCCACTTAAAATCTTTACTAAACTATGACCGGCCATCATATTAGCAAATAAACGTATTCCTAAGCTTAATGCACGAAAACAATAAGAGATTAGATCAAGTAGTACTAAGAAAGGTGCTAATGGCAGTGGGACTCCCGTAGGTAATAAGAAGCTAAAAAAATGAAGCCCATGTCTTTGAAATCCAACGATCGTAATGCCTATAAAAATGGAAAATGAAAGAGCCAAAGTAATGAGAAAATGACTTGTCACTGTGAAGCTAAAGGGTATCATACCCTGGGGATTACGAAATAACGAAAAAGTAAAAGTGACCGAGATGCGAGGGAAAAACTTTTGTTTCACATTTCCGGAAAGACCACCTATTTGTTCGTTTACCAGGTTCAGCACGAAATCATAAATAAGCTCGACCAAGGATTGCCATGCATTTGGCACTGACTTTCCACCTCCCTTTTTCGTAACAAAAAAAAAAAGAAAAACGACCAAAATGACAGTGAGCAGCATATACAAGACTTCATTTGTAAATGATAAATAAAAGTTGCCCACATGAAGATCAATTATTGGGATAATGGCAAATTGATCCAATGGGGTATTTGGGTAGGCACCAGGCAGATTCTGGATAAAATTATCCATACCACCACCCGCCCGAATATCCTCTAATATGCCCTGCCAAGTTTTGCTATTTTGGTGGTGGGCTCCCAATACTGTTCTAGCTAAATTGACTGCTCCCTGTTTGGACTCATTTTGGCCCAAATACCCTTCTATTTGTAAAACTATTGTGATGCCGGCAATTTGCTCAGGCGTTGGCGTTATATCCAAGTTTGGCGTTATAGCAAAGTTCTGAGAGATGTTGGTTGGGAAAAAAATCATGTAGATCAGGAAGACAGGAACACTTACTACGAATTGGTTGATTCGTTGTAATAGCAGCAAATAGCATATTTCTATCCTTCATATCCGTAGAAAGAAATCTCATCTCCAGGTAACTCCATCTTTTTCAGCTCTGCTCGCTCACTTTTGAAAGGAAAGGAGACTGATCTTGACGTCAGCGTTGGTTTTTCCAACGAAAAACAAGAACATTCTTTCACGAACTTCCATGAAAAAATGCTAGTTGCCTTGTAACGCATACACTGGAGCGTTTGTCCCATCGACGAAGGCCACTATACGCGTTTTCTTAAGAGCAACATTCTCTTATAACCAAACATCGCAAAGACAGAAAGGAGTATCCTGAACGTAAGGCCAATGGCTAGCAGACTTCGCTGAACACTCACGATATTCAGCTAAAGCTGGATGCATATTATACCTTGCCTTGGTAGAGTGAAATTTGAACCCAACACAAGCAACTCTCCCGGTTTAGCGATATTGATGGTTCCAGCCTCATTCCACTAGCCCTAAAAGCATTCTAAATATATAAAAGAGGGGGGATGGATTCTACAAGAAAAGGCGGGCAAAGGTAGTTCAGGAGTCAATTCTTGGAGCATAGCTCATTTCTAAGTCCCCAACCCATCTCGTGCTCGTGCTGTACGCGATCGAATCTTGCGGCCGGATAGAGCAATGGAATCACCGAGTCGTATGAAAAGAGGGCTCTTCTTTTTAATCTTAACACAAAGGCTAGCTCCCCTGGGGGTTGTCATATTACAATCATTTGTATTACTTTCCTACCAATCCTGAACTAGCTATGACCCTTATAGCGAGCCTCGCTTTACCGTTTCAGATAGAAACAAATGGCGCTCCTAAAGTCGATTGGATACTTTCTTTTTTATTGAATTAAGCTAAGCCGTGGACTTTCTCACGTGAAGAACTCCTTCTTATGAGCTCATGGACTTGATCAATGCTAGTTCAAGTTCACGTTATATTAGGAAATTAGTTCATTAATTCATTTATTTGCCAACGAAGAAGCCTTGCGCTACTCGGAAAGTACTG